CTTCTTGGGAGATAAATAATCAGCAGAGGTGTTTTTATAATAAAAATTTATAGCCTGATCCAAAGTCAATACAAAAATTCTCCATGACTTCAGTAAATTTTGATTCTAGCCTTACGTAACGAAATTTAGGAGGGAGACAGCAGTTGTGTCCATAACCTCTCTTCTTTATTTTGATGTAATTTAACAGCACTGACAAGAAATTAATAAAAATACATCAGAGATTTCTGGGTGTGTTCCCTGTAGAATCAAACAGGAGCCAGAGCAGTTTACGATACTAAAAACCAACTGAAGGAGAAAATAAGAATAATCACGGTACTTTGCAACTAGATAATAATTAAATTATATGGTGTATGAGGTAATATAAAGCTCAATTCTTGCCTAATACAACTTATATCAAAGTGAGAAAAAAGATGCCTTCACTGCTAACAAATTTTAAAAGTGTTGTAAAGGTGAAAAAGACCATATTTTCTCACTAGATACTTTCTGCTGATGCAACTACAGATATTGTTTCTCTTTCCCCCAGGTGGTTCTTTGCTGCTGATATGTGTCTGAAAAACCAAGCTTCCTGAGGGACCTCTACTAGGACTGTAAAATAGAGATGGTACTGAAATCAGGAACAAGAAAATTGTGTGGAAAGTGTTCCATCACTTCTTTATATAAATACAAACTGGAAATTTTGCCCCAAGCATATTTACTGAGTTGAAAAATGTTATAATAGGTTTATGTGATTTTTCAACCTGTAATCATACTCATATGCAAAGTTATGAGATAGGAAGTCTTTATAGCTACAAAGTATTAATGATCATTTGACCTTGTTATGGAAAGGCTTAGGATGGCTAGGCAGGGATAAATACAATTACATATATTCAAGGAAGCTCCTCCGATTCCCAGGAACATGGTTTTATAAAAGATTACAAGAGTTCTCAGAATCTTTACCAGGTAGATATCTTCTTGATTATCTTCTAAAGACAAAAAAGGCTGTTTGGGCAGATACTTGATAACTGTCTTATTAAAATAACATCATAAAAAAATTGTTAGAATACAAAATGAGATGAAATGAGTCCAAACCTTATTCCAGAGGGAAGGTGCCAACTATGATGGAATTGCTTTTAGACCAGAAACAGCCATTGTTCTCTTTGGCAGTATTGAATAAAGTTTTGAATCATCGTGATGGGTGACACCAACAGGTTTGTTGGTACTTGTAGTGATTTACATATGGTCTCATGATTAAAGAATTTGTGACCACTGCATGTACTGTTCCTCTGGTGACTTGGATGGTTAATTCTTTGACAATCTGGGTGGCAATGAGCATCAGACTCCTTCAGCCATTTAAAGTCTTACAGAAGGTGTGGTTTTACGCAGTTTTTGGTTTTCTTGACAGCATTATTTGGAGAATACAACCAGGAAGAACAAGGCTCGTGACATACTAAGCCCACTATCAGTTTTGTCAGCTTTACAACATGGGAGCAAAGTCCTGAATGATTTGACTGGGTTTGTTGGAACAGAAGCATTTTCAGAGTTCTCTTTTGCTAAATAGTCTTAGAACAAACTAGGATATTAATTGACAAGGATACTGATGAATGATGCTGACATTACTCCTTTTTGAAAATACTGAGGTTAACTAAAATAGTATATTGTTTTGTGCTGCTTCTTTGTAAATAATGTTTTAGTTTCATTTAGAAATGTCAGCTGTTACTTAATTGCACAATGGATCAAGATTTAACTAGCAAGTTTTTTTTTAATAATTGAAGATAACTGCTTAACAAAACGTTGATTGAAATATTTGATACTAAACATTATATTGTGTGGCATCTGCTTTTCAACTTGCTAATGATACCTGTGACTAGTCAGGCTGTTTTCACAATCCATAATTGTTGAAAGTAGCAAGTTAATAATGAAGACTTTAAAAACCTGTTTTTAAACATGTAAAATCACTGAAATTCTTGTTATTTATTTAATAATTTGATTAAAGTCATGTCATTATTATATCATGCTAGTAAAAGCCATGGGCTTTCAGCTGTGTATTGGAAGACTGATTTTAGAGCATGTTTGAATCAGATTCCCTGTGGTTTTGGGAATTTTTCCTTTTTATTGCTTTTGCAGTGGAGTCATGGAGTAATCCACTAATATAATCTAATATAATCTGTAGGCTGTTTGCTATATAAATGTATTCATCTAGTTTAATTTGAGTCAGTAAAGAGAACCAGTAGAAGTCACTAAAGAGTCAGTAAAGTCAGCAAAAATTGTAGCAGTGACAGGACAGCTGGTAGGACATGTGGAATGATTCTCCTACAAAAGACATAATTTTAGGTTTTTTAAAAAGTAAATAGTTCACTAATATTTTGGGGAAAGGAGGCTGACATACACATCGCCTCAGCAGGGTCTCTGACAATGACACACCTGCAGCAGGCTACTGTTAAAAGATTGTAAAAGCATTGACAAGATAGGTAAGCTGCGGGCTTTATTTAATTTTTTTAAGGTGATTTTTCTTCCTGTATATTGTCCCTGGCAAACCAAACATTGATGAGCCACTCATTTAAAACCACTTGCTGACTACTCACTCAGGCTTCCTGGCAGGAAGACCTGCAGATGCCACGGAACAGCTGCAGCCACAGCTGCCAGCTGCCCATGCACAGCTGGGTTGCAAGGCTGAGGAGCTCAGGGCATGTCTCCATGCAGGGAGCTGCCAGGGAGAAAGGCAGCAGCAGTACAGTTAATCAGCAGTATAGTTTTGACAGAAAAACTGTATTTATGTCACAGATGTGTTCTGTGAAATCATTAACATGAATACAAGCTGTTCCATGGAAATGCAACATAAACATATTAATGACATCCAGTTGACCTCTGTGTGCAGCCTCTGATGCAGAATGTAATCCTGATTTCCTTCTTGTAATGGCAGGAGATCTACAGAATGAACTAACTTTCCTATGAGGTACTTCCAGTGTATGAAAAACCATAAATTCAGTATGACTAAAATAGATTTGAAACATTAATCATGTCACTATCATTTTCATGCTTTGCTGTAAGAAACTGTAGAATAAATGTGGTATTTGTAAATTGCATATAGACTCAAGATGTCATTTCACAACATCACAAGGAGATTATATATCTTTACACTATGAGTTCTGAACACATTACATGTGATTAATTGGGATTTTATTTTGCAGAAAATGTAAGTGAAAATGAGAAATGAGTCCCTTAATATGAATAACTACGGTCCTTGTCAAGAGATATACATTTTACCTAGTTATGTATAAACCCATGTTTACTGAAAATGGAAGATGAGTCATATGGGAAAGAAAAAGGTGACATATAATACGCAAATACTGTAAAGACAAATATTTTCATACGGCAACGTCACCAAATGCAATAATTTTCTTGGATTGTGTATGAAGACAAAAATGTAAATAAAATTAAACCTAACAAAGAGAGAGAGAGTCAGGCCAGCTGTTACAAAAAGACATTTCCTACTGCCTCTTAAGCCTTCAGTTTTAACTCTCTGATTACTTGTTGTATAGACTGTCACACTAGCCCTTCTTCAAAAATTCTGATGATGAGGACATTGCTCCTAACAGAGCCCTAGTTCAAATCTGAAGCACTCAGGAAGAAGGTTTTCTCAGAATCTGTTAATTTTCTGTGTATTTTCAACATCTAGATTTTGCTGCTCTAAGCATGAAGTCCTTTAAGAGACCTCTTTGCCCCAGCAAGGTAAAAAATGGGTCTGTCTGTGGACTTCAGATGGTTTTACCTCAAAGGGCTCCATCTTTGAGCTTCAATCTGGTAATAGCACTTTTCACATCTTTGAAACAACTGATGCATTTCCCTGAACTGCTGTAAATCAAATCTCAGGTTATCAATAATTTGTAGCTAGCAAATTCCTGTAAGAATTGCTGAGCTCCAGACAGAATCCCATGGAGATTAACTTCACAGTGAGCACTACAGGGGACAGCTCTGCAGCTCATTTCTTCTCCTTGGCCTTCTCTTCTGTTTTAGATGAGCAAGTGATGCTGTACTTGAAATTTTGGATAAACTGCTTAAATTATCAATAATTAGTAGTTTTCTGCATTAACTAACTTTACTCTTTGCAATGTTCTTTGAGACACAGGTGTCCAGATGTGACAGAGAAGGAAATAAATAGGCTTCTCAACATCTGTCCAGAACTTGGACAGATATGAGACTAAGGTCTCAAATGCACTTCCACAAAGGGAGAGAAAAGATACGCTGCAAGTATTTGTGGGTTTATTTACTGGAGACTTGGGGTGTCTTACAGCAATTACACAGGAGGTCAGCAGGATGCCATGGGCCTTCATATTGACCAGAACTATTTTACTTTTCTTTCTACAACTCTGCCTACCTAGGTGAAGGCTCCTGGTGTACTGCAAGATCCCTGAAAAAGGAGCTGTGCTCTGTGTTTAAATACTTTGTACAATGCAAGTAGGTGCTGGTCCAGTACCGAGGGTCCCAGTTCATACCAGAAGACAAACACCAGAGCAATTAATGAAAAGGCAGCCTGTTGTAGCTGGAAAGTCAGTTCAGCTTCTTTAGTCCAGTGGACACCACCCCTGAAATAGCAAATTCTGAATGGACTCAGTGGTGTTTTCTTTACATTGGAGTACTGATAAATCCTTCTGGTATCATCCTGGCAAATAAATTCAATTCAGTGAGTCACATCCTTCATATAAGCAGAAAAAACCCATATGTGCTAAAGCATTGCAAGGGGTTAATGAATGAAGGAGAAATTATCTTTGAAAACAAAATTTAAATCACATTCAATAATAATTTTATCTTCAAGTTTCCTGTCTAAGTTTCTGTATGCTTTTAAATAAACAGTAGAGGGGGAAAAAAGAAGTTAAAAGCTCCTGTCAGCACTTTATTTTAATTTTCTTGGCATTCTGTTGCGGCCCTAGACCAGGACTACAGCCCCCAGCAGCCCCCGCGCGGCCCCGTCGCGCCCCGGGCGCGCTCCCAGCGGGCCGCGCGCGCAGCGCTGTCGTGGCGCTCGCGGCTGAAGGCTCCGCGGCCGCCGCGCCAAAGCCGCCGCCTCCCTGCGGTGCTCCGGCCTCCTCCTCATCCTCCTCTTCCTCCTCCCGCTCCTCATCCCGCTCCTCATCCCGCTCCTCCCGTGGCAGCTTAGGGCAGAGCCATGAGGCGCGCGGGGCTGGGTAAGCGCTGCGGCGGGGCCGGGCCGGGCTTCGACACGAGCAGGGCCCGGCCCCTGTCAGGGCTGGGGGCGCAGGAGGCGTGAGGGGAGCTGTACCCTGGATGCAGGGTGGTGGCAGGGCTCGGGAGCTTGGCGGAGAAAGGCCGTCAGCCCTGCCTCTGCCTCTCCTTCTGGCCCAGCTGGATTTACCGAGCAGCGACAGGTTTGTGTTTGTCATAGGATTTGGTTTGGAAGTGACTTCCGAGACCATCTAGGTCCACCCTCCATGCCGTGCCACTTTCTTCTAGACCAGGTTGCGCAGAGGCCCATCCAACCTGGCTTTGAACAAACACTTCCAGGGATGGGGGGCCATCCACAACTTCTTTGGGCAGCCTGTTCCAGTGCCTCACCACCCTCGCAGTAAAACATTCTTTTCTAATACTGCATTTAAACGTACTGTCTTTCAATTTAAACCCATTTCCCTTCTCCTGTCACTACATGCTCTTGTAAATAGTATTGCCCCATTTAGTTGTGCTGTTATTCAGTTATTCTAATACCATGTTAGTTTGAGCCATGTTCCCATGAATAGGCAAATTTGTTGCTCTTCTGTCAATTCCTTCCCAAATTCAGAAATTGTTCGTTTGGGGTTTTTTTAAGTGCTTCTCTGTTTTCCTGCCATGTTCAGGGAGTAAAAAACCAAGAATCCCCACTGTTATAAATTTATTACAGATATAATCTGGTGCAAATTGAGAAATCCTTGCAGAGTTCCTGCTGAGTGTGTTGAGCAGCTTAGGCCTCATTTTTCAGCCATCAGTCATGTTGATGACTAGAAGGAAACTTTGAACTCCCACGTCACCTTCTACAACCACGTGGGTGCTGTGACGGCTCCCTAAAGCTTAGGAGATGTTCACACCTCTGAAGTGTATGATTGTGTCCTGGGGCTTCCTCCTAGAAAGTATTTGGGGCTAAACCAGGTGTGTCTGACACTACCCTAGATTTATTCCTACGCTTCAGATTTGTATTGTGCAGTAGTATTTTCATGAAATCAAACAAGTCTTGGGAACACTTCCTAGTGAATCAAGAGAGGTGTTAGGAAGTGTATCATTAAGAAGTGGGCATTTGATAGTGCTTAGGTGTTCAGTCCTTTCCTTTGTCAGACTGACAGCTCCCTCTCAGAGCGGAGGCCACCCAGCTGTGTGCTGTTTCTGGGAGAGGGGATGGATGTTTATGCAAGGAGTTCTGAAGGAAGCTTGCCTACTGACTGTTGTGTTTGCAGGTGATGGAGCACCTGCAGGGAGCTATGGCTATACCAACAGTGGCTACAGTGTGTATGAAGAGGAGAACGACAGGTTAACAGAAAGTCTGCGTTCAAAAGTCAGTGCCATTAAATCGGTACGTATTTAACCACAGTGGTGTCTCCACAGTCAGGAAATTCAGGTATATCAATCAGGGAAGCAGCAGACTTTGTTTAAAACAGAAATTTAAAACTGTGGTGTGTTAACCTGGCTGGATGTCAGGTGCCTGCCAAAGTGTGCTCTGTCACTCCTGAGGTGGATGGACAAGGGAGGAAGAAGCACAATGAAAGGTTCATGCATCAACGTAAGGGCAGGGAGAGATCACTCACCAACTACCATAATGAGCAAAACAGACTCGACTTGGGGAAATGGATTTATTGACAATCAAATCAGTAGAGTAGTGAGAAATAAAAGACTTGAAATGGCTTGCCACTACCTTTCCCTTTTTCCTGGGTTCAGTTTCACGCCCAATTTTCTCTGCTTCTTAACTCTCAGTGGTACAGGGGAACAGAGGATGGGAGTTGCAGTAAAAAAATATGTAATGTGAAAACAGCTCTTAGAAATAGCATGCCAATATCCTTTGAAGGAGAAGTTTGGTGTTCTGATGATTCTGATTCCTTTCAGAGATTGAGGACTTCTTTCAAACAAGTCTAACTGAAAGACAGCTCTGAGATTAAAGTTGTGTGGATTTCTTGTTCCTAAAAGCTTTAAGTTTTATAAACCACATTCCAGTGAATTTTTTTGGCCTGAACTCACTCGAAGTTTTACTTTAATGCTGTTGCTTAAAATCGGTTTAGTCTCAAAGAGAAATTAAACAGGTTTAGAATAAGAATTTGGAGCAAGTTAAGGGGTAAAAAAAAAAAAGCTTTGACCTTTGTTATCAAATTTCATTTCTTGTCTCCTGCTGTGATATGTTACATTTCAAAATCCATGTATGTCAAAATAGCAGTTCATGGTTCCCCAAGGAGATCTTTCTGTAGTTCTGTCTTTAAGTGCAATGGGATAATCTTGGCATGTGGAATAGCCTTCACATAATCCAAGAAGCCTCATGTAAAATCAGTTTCACTCTTGATTGAAATGCATCAGTACGAGATAATGAGATTCAAGTTTTGACATGTGAAAACAAATGGGTTTTGGCAAATCCAAAGCATGGGGGCCTGGAGTGCATTTCCCTCCAGCCCAGGTGTTGAGCAGGTTGTTCAAGGCCAGTGTGCTGATAACAGAGTCAGGCTAAGCCAATAACAGTCAGGCTCAGTGTCAGTTCTCCCCTGTTTACCTCCAGAGCTGCTTTAAGCCAAGGCTCTTCTGGCTGGCTCCCACCTTTGTGCTGTTGCAGCTCCCACTGTGCCTGGTCTCATTCCTCCCTGATTCCAACCCTAACCTCACTTCACTTTCTGGCTTGAGCTGGGACCTGTCTGCCCAGGCTGTTGCTGGCCCTGATCACTGTCTCAGGACTGGCTCTAGTGCAGCTTTCCTCCTTCTGTTCTGTGACATAAAGCAGAGAAGGGCTACACAAGTTCACTGAAGAAAGTCCTCCTGTTTATAGCACAGCAGCTTGTCAAAAGAGATGTGTTTGCAGGTTACATGTGTCAGCTCCAGCAACACTAGGAGTCGAACCAATGCTCATGGTTCTCTCTGCTGTGTGCCAGCAGTTTTAACAGTTGTTCCAGGAATGGGTAATTGCTACTTCAGACTTTACTAGATCTTGAGGTTTTAGATTCCATCCAATAATACAAGTAAGACGTTCTCTGGAAAAGGGGAAGAGGAGCATTGAGTACTTCCAGTGACTCTTTAGACTCATCTAGTCAGATGGAAAATCTTTTATTTCCCTAAGGGTCATTGATAGAATACTGTGTATGTTATTTTGGTTTTTGAAAATACCAGGTATTGCTTTCAGTGGGGAAAGTGCTAGTCATGTCATGTATTTTTGACTGGGTTCTGTAATCTGTGTATTAACTTATATTAAATATGATTCTTCATATTTAATACTTTTTGGTTTTTGTGTTGTTTTGTTTTTATAGCTTTCCATTGAAATTGGAACGGAAGTTAAAAACCAGAATAAAATGTTATCGGAAATGGTGAGTATTGAATAACTACCTTTCTTTAAATATGGGTCAGGATTAGAAGTTAATAATGTAAAGCATCCTGTCTTTTAGTATGAACATTGGTATTAAAATTTTGACAGCTTATTGTTGACTGTAACATGTGACTGATTTGTCAGCAGTATCAGTATTTCTGTTCAAAAAGATAAGATATGCAAATACATTACTCCTAAGGCACAACCTAGATCTTTATGCTTTGGATATGAGTATAGGTTTTTAATCAGGAAATGTCAAGTACCATTAAAATGACACTTCTATATTTAATTGTATTCAAGAATAGAAGAAGGAAGCAAAAACAAGAGAGTCAGAAATGCCTTTTTGCTTTCACTTTGCTTTGGCTTGGGGTAATAATAGAACTGGATAAATGGGTGATAGTTTTTGCCTCTAAAATAATTTTAGTTTTGGAAACTTTGAAAAAACAGGGAAAACTATACTGAGTGAGCTGTAAGGGTATTTCTCTCTCAGAGTTACATGTTTTTTTTTCTCTTTTCTTGCTTGGTTGTTTCTTTTTTAAATGTAGGAGAATGATTTTGACTCTACGGGTGGACTTCTAGGTGCAACTATGGGCAGACTGAGAACACTCTCCAGAGGAAGCCAGACAAAGCTATTATGCTACATGATGCTCTTTTCATTATTTGTTTTTTTTGTGATATACTGGATTATTAAACTGAGGTGATGCATGTTACCTCTGGTTTACATTGTGTAATTTCAACTGTAGTCTTAGTTAAAGAAGACATTGATTTAAAGTGGCACATTTTGTGGATAAAACAGTGAAATTGTTGTAAATTGCATTAACAATTAATGCGAAGTTATATATAGTTTTCTTAATGTATCAGAGTTTTTCCATCATCCCCTGTTTTGGGGGGATTATTTGTAAATATGCAGAAACAGCTAGCATAGCGGGATGGATTTTTTAGGGGAAAATAGTTTTTAGAATTGATTGAAAAAATTCAAAGAACAGTGGTTATTTGAAAATGAAGTAATTGCAGAATTTCAAGGCTTTCTTTTTCATTCTGCTTTTTATTCTGGGCCATGCTCTAAATTAGAGCTCTGGTTTCAGGCATATAGTCATTTCAGTTGCAAGAGCACAAAGAATATGTTGATCTTTCTAAATAGATCTTACCTGTGGAGTTTTAAAGGCTGGCCTGAAGCTAGCAAATGTAATAGTGGTATTCCCAAAAATTACATTTGTATTTAGGTCTGATAATGTGCAAGTAACTTTAACTGCGTGTTTTGGCAAGAAGTTACTTAAAATTGGATTTTTTATTTTTTAATTTAAATGTGACAGATCATGTTTACACATCTACTCTTTTAAGCAAATGCCTTTCATCATTGGGACCAACCAATATGGACACAGTACAAATGTTTTCTTTATATTTAAAGTATTTAAAACTGAAATGATTCAATTGAATCACTTGAAATTTTACCATTAGTATGTTTACTTTCCAATTAGTGATAGTCCCTAAATCTACAGTGCATGATGTCTGAAATACAATGGCAGATATTTTGAATTTTATATTAAAGTAGATTATGATGCATTTGTTGACAGTGCAGTCACATTAGGGTTCGAGAACTTAGTTTTGGTTCACCAAGTAGTTTCTAATCATTGAGGCTATTACGTTGCTGAGTTTAACATTCAAAAAAATGGAAGTTTGCTAGATATTGAAATTGTATCTACAATTTTTGAAAAACTTTTTTAGAAATACTGTATGATGTGTTATCATTAATAACCAACAATGAACTTACAAATAAAGTGTCCTGTAGTATTATCCTAGCTAGTGTTGTTTATATACATTTTTTTCTACTGTAGAGTACCAGTGTATTTTTTTGAAATGGTGCTGTATTTAAGGGGCAATTTTTATTTTTTAATCAATAATACAGGCTGCCTCTTCCAGCTTAAATGGCTGTTTTAGGAAGACTTTCAGTAATTATGCACAGTTTTCATATTAATGTGTTTATTTTAATATTTTTCTTAATAATTATGCATACAACATGGTACATTGCTGCTGAAGTTCACCCTCTGCAAGCTTCAGATACACTGAAACAGTTGTTTGTAGAATTCTGCAAATAAAAATTTAACACTACTCCCATCACCAAAAGTCCATGAGAGTGGAGTACAAATTGATATGGATTTGTCAAAGATGACAGAGCTCATTTTAATGATTGCTTGCTAAAAGTGAAAGATAGGAAAGGTACCTGTTAATTGGGAGGAAAGGCACTGTTCTGGGGTTTCATTATGGATGGGAATAATTTGTGCCATGATTGTTCATCTTGAAAGCAAAGCTTTACTGAAGTGAGATTAAGCTACATAGCTTCCATTCATATGGAAGTTCTGTTGTGTAATTATCAGCTTAGATGCTGTGAAGTGTAGATAAAGCTTGATTAAAGAACATATTTTTTTCTGTGTGCTTAGCAAGGGTCATTGGAAAACTTAGGTCACCAACTGAAAAAACGGAATGCAGGAGGCTGCAAGCTTTCAGAGTGCTTCATATCAACAAGAATTTGACATTGGAAAGCACAAAGTGGCAATGGTGAAAGACTTTGATGTGCTTTCTGATGGCAAAATTGCTGATCTGTACCCATTCAGCATGCAGCACAAGTCATGCTCTTGCTTTCTTCATTTTCAAGGGAGAGTGCCGATGCGTCACTTTCTTGGAAGTGTGTCCATGTATTTGCATATGATGGAAAGCATGGTTTCATCTGAGCCACCTCCTATTGACATCAATCTCAAGTCCCTGCAGAAATATAAAGAGTAGATTTAAACATTTGCATGCTGTTCTGATGGTGCTGTGCTGGACAGCTTGCCCAGAATTACTTACACATTGGATACAAATGCCACATGCCTGCAGAACACCTGATCCACTGGCTCCTGGGGAGGTGGGCTGTGATGCTGCCCACAACACCCCTGCTGGGCCTGTCCCAAACCTGTAGGTGCCTAAGCCTGCAGTTGAACTGTAGGAGGGGAAGGAGCTTTTCCAGGGCCAGCAGCAAAAAGCATTGCAGCACTTAAATTTGCTTAACTGTGGTGAAAGAGTCAACCAGTACATGTGGTATTGGAGAATTGCACAGAAAGGGTATAATTTCCGTTCAAGGTTTTTAACCAATCCAGGTTTCCTAATGCCTATGTAAGATCTGGTAAAAGCCTCATTAGTATTATATAGTACTTTAATGTTACATAGCATAATATTACAAGTAGTTCTGTATAGTATTCTAGTGTAGTTTTATATAGAGCTTTTGTGCTTTAAAAATTAATACTTCAGGAATATTTACTCTTTGATATTTCTAATCACACTCATTTAAAACCTGCCATAACCATCCCAAGTCAACCCTAACAGTATTGCCTAAGTTCCCTGTGCTAGCCAGAGTGCTCATTACTGCAGCCTCAAGCAATTTTACTCACAAATATTTTACCTCAGGGGAGAAGGAAAACCATCACCAATAAAACTACCAGAACAATTCTAAACTATCTCTGCTTAGTAACCTGCAGATTCCCCACCTTCCTATGGGCCTTGCTGAAGGCAGCAGACCTGGAACAGTGGTAGGTTGCTTGTTCTTAGTGCTGCGGTGCTGTCTGCTTTGTCAAGCTGCAGAAAGCCCCTGCCAATGCTCAGCATTTGGCATCTTCACTGTAGCAACATTAAGTAACTAATCCTTAGAACGCTGTGATGTCAATAGAAATCCTGTCTCTGCAGCAGGAATCCTGGACACATGGGCTTGTTTATATGAAATTTTAAATAGTGGTAAAATCTGGCTTTGGTGGTGTGTGTGACAGACAAGTCAGACTGTCACGTATAAAGACACGTCTCAAAAAAACAGAACACCTTTCATATGTTTTGTGCTTGTGTGTATCTTTACAAATTTGCTGATAATTATATTTTTGTCTCTGTGGGTGAGATAAGGAATATTTCTTACAGAATCTACAGCCAGGAGACTAATGCTGATCTCTCCTCTGGCGAGACAGGACAGAAGGTTTCCCCCTAATTTAAGCGGATTAAGATGACAAAAGACACAAATTATTTTAATCCAGCAGCCCTCTTCTGGGAAAGAAACTTGCTTTCATCATAAGAAGCTGAAACCATGGGATTAACTATCCTGCCAGAAACTCTGTAAGGAAGCTGGGAAAGAGCACATAGTGAAGTCAGCTTCTGTATCAGTTATTTAATGTATGCTTATGGCTTGATAGTTTATCTTATACCAAGAATGCATTATTAATACAGCACATAAGTATTTCAATATATATAAATATTGGAATTTGATTGCTTTTGTAAGGGACACTGTTAGGCTACTGCTGTAAAGGCTTTTGATCTGGCACAATAACATTTTGCTTTTGATTTCTGCATCACTGTCTTGTTGCCACATGACAGAGCAGCACATCCTAAACCACCTTCAGCCCTCCTGAGGTGAGCATCAGCCTGGGGTGGCTTCCCCCTGACCAAGGACCATGAGGAACCAGCCTGCAGCACACCATGCAGTTTTAAAGATGTCATTTTGAGGGACCAAACCTCTAGCTACTTGTTGAATGTAATTGAATGCTGTTTTCTTTAGAGAGTGGGAGTTAACCTGTGGAAGGAGAGAATCCAACTATTGTGTTCTATCCCTCTAAAATATTCCCTGTGAAATGTTCCCTTACATTCAGGAAATCCCATGTGTCTCACTGTAGATTATAAGACTTCACTCAACCAAATCAAGAGAGATAAATGGTAAAAATTAATCTATGTTTTAATGAATAAAAGCAAAAAAATCTTCAATGTCAATTTAAAAAACAGCACTTAAGAGGGAGGGTGAGGCACCATTCCCACCCACCAAATTCAATCCAGGTGATTAATAACTTATAGTTAGGAAGCAACAGGAAAAAAAAAAGCCCTCTACATTGTCAAACCATGTTTCCCATCTCCATAGAGGCCATGTAATACAGCCTTCAGAAATGTGTCAAGCACTGCTTGAAGGAGAAAAAACAAGCTCCCTTTAATCTTGGACTACCCTAATTTGAAGGTTATGAGATAACAAAGTTGTTCTAATGATTAGGAACCCTGTAATTTACAGCCTGAAAATGTATTTCTGAATAGTGTAATCCAAAATAGTCTGCAGTTTAACATTCCTCTGTTGGCTGGTGCTGACCCCTCTGCACCCTGAGTGACATTTGGACCTTGTTTTGCACAAGCTAAGCCATGTCTACTACCCTGCTGCTAAAACTTTTGGTCCCAGTTTTCCTGAAAATCAGAGCCAGTCCTTATCCCAGTCTGAGCTCTCCCTTGTTTGCGATTTCCCCAGCCATAAAGCAGGGACATGTACCCATTCACAGCACAAGCAAACTTTTAGATCTTGTAATGTACTATATGCAGCTCATGGCACACTAAATCTGTCTGTAGCTTCAAGCTGGGAAAATGTGATCATGCTTGCAGTTGTGCCTTCCAGTACCATTTATTTCCTACAGCTGAGAAGCTGAGCCTGCTGTGGGAGCTGCTCTACACTACATTTTCCTCTGGGAAACCATATGGAATTGGATTGAAGCTGTTTCTGTTCCCAAACAAGCTGAGAGGAGCCTGCTGCACTATCTATGATGCAGGTGTCTTCATGAAACTTCAAATTTCCTGCCAAAATAAACTAAGAAATTTTTTTTCCCTTTTCTGGCAGTGATCAGCGCCAGTCAGACAGGGGGAAGAAAGAGTTTTGGTGATTTAAGCCCTGGGTTCCCCTAACAGCCTGGCATTAAGGCAGCAGTCCCTCAGAGATGCTGCTCTCCGCTTCCCTGGTTAGAAGGCCATTGGTAAAAAACCTTACCAAGGTTTGCATGGTTCAGAGTATCACTGCTTCCCTGGCCATTTATACACTGCTTCTTTTCAGCACAAACTGCACTTGATTACAAAACCTTTACCCTTTTTTTCTCATAACTCACTATTTCAGGTTTTAACTATTTTAAGGTTTTACTACTGGCAAGAATTTTCTCCAAAAAAGGTACTGATGAACCCTCAAGCCTAATATTTTGTGACTTCTTCCATATTCAGACTCAGCTAGATTACCTATAGGCTGTCCAAATTAAGCAGAATCTGAAGGAGGCTTTGTTCTAGAGAGAAGAATTTGAACTGGTGCCACTCAGTGCAGCAGGCCTCTGACCAGGCTGGCACAGCCCACAGCCATGCCTGCCAGTTCCCATGACCCTGTTCCTTCCCCCTCAGGGACATTCTGAAGGCCAAGAGTAGGGAATGGGCATCACCTTGGCCTGCTCTGAGCATAAAGTAGAGAGTTGAGCACAGCTCTACTTTAAAGTCATCACTGTACAGTTACCTGCCTTGATTTGCTATCTTAAAGGTAAACGTCATGTGCTTCATCTCCTAAATTCCTTCTCAAGGTACTCATAAAAGTCAAAGAAAGTGGTAGACAGGCATCTGTCTCAAAGCCTCTGCTGAAAAAGGTGGAAACTGCAGATTTTGTTTCACAGATGACAGCAATTTGTATTAAGTTTTGTCTCAGCAGTTAGGTACAGACATCAAAGCAAATTGTCAGCAGAAATGGATACATTTCATTTTGTTTGGTACAACTACAAATTACTATAACGAAAAAAGCTGATTAAAACCCCCAATTGTCTGGACTCACTCAAGTTTAGACATGTTTTATAAAGAATGAAAGACTATAAACAATGAAATAAAAAATGAAACTGAATGAACTATTTGAACTAACTTTTGAAATATGGGAAGGAAAAAAAATTAGATGGAAATACATTACTTACTCAAAAAATCCACTTAAAATTATACAGAAGTTTGGTTTTTAGCTATCCTCAATTACAGACAGACCTTCATATGGCAATAACTACACGACAGTTGAGGAGTAAAATGAAAATGTGTTTCTTCTGCAACTATGCATCTGCAATGCTACTTACACTTCTATTTCACATGAGTAGTCAATATTTTTCACTACTGTTTTCTTGAGTCTTTTACAACATAGCAAGTAAAGAAATGATAGCATTTTCCCCATCACAGCCCATAGGAGAAAAGCTTTTGAGAACTGGAAGCAGTTAGACGTGATGTTTAGCAGTTAATAACAATCTGAATTTAAAATAAACCCAACAAATCAAACTGTTTTAAGAAGACCACATAAGTTTTTCCAATAACAATTGAAGCGCACATAACTACTCTTAAAATACAGGGATCACTACCTGCAATTTTTTAAAACTCAGGAAGTCTGAAAAATTGCAATAAACTTAATTCAAAAAGGTTTCTTTCCTTAGTCTCTCATAACCTTGAGAGGTTTTTCATATAAATGATGGCTTTGTTCCATAATAGATTTTTGCCAAGTCACGATGTCTTTAAGGCCTTTCAGACAGAGGAGAGAAAAATAAACAAGCATGTCTCCAGGCTAGTGCTTTCTTTCTTCAGAATCCTGCTACTAGGGTACAGGTTGGAAAGTCTATTCTTTATGGGTTTTATATTGTCTTGTATTTTTCTATGAAACTTTTTGATATTTGAGCTCTAAGCTTTTCTTTTTTTTTTACCTGTTCTTCTTATTAGAATCTGTACAAGTGAAACATTTACATATCTAAAATCAACCCAGTATAGACACCTACATGGTGAAGCAGTTCTCTTCATGCTTTCTAGAGAATAGGAATGAAGACATGCCAGTTATTCTACAAAGTTTAAAATGTTACTGATTAAATGACAGATATCAATAAAATAAGTTGGCAGTTTTGTGCTGTTTCTGTTTATGATCTCTAACTGACCCTAATAACTAAAATTCAGAGACTTCATTCACTAACTATGCATTGTACTGTATGTTCTTTGAGGAGTGAGTAACAGCGAGAAGTGTTGAAGATTGACCTACATCTCTTTGGGAACTTCATAAAGATTATGCTACAAAAATGTTTGAACATTAGGACTAGATGTCCTGCTGTGTGATGATACTGCTGCTACTGGACAAACATCACAGTGACGTGAATGGTTACTCAGACTGCTGTAGTAGAAAGAAGGGCTTTAGGGAAGTTGCTGCTTTGCTTATTGTTACAGATTAACAAGATTCTATCTTGAACATGTAATTGTTTATTTAGGTAAAACTCTCCTTGTCCCTTCCTGGACCTTTGGTTACTCAATGGTGGAATTTTACTGATTCATAGAAAATTTCAGAGTATAAATATCACACTGTCTTTAGCCTCATTTATTTATAAGAGTATTTGTTTTAGAGGTAGAAAGATACATTTTTCTAGCCAGCTGACTGTGTACACCAACAGGAAACCTTCTGGATTTCTTCTAAGGAAAAATGTGACTGTGCTGTTATACTTGGAAATCACTCTGGAATCCACACAGAAAAGCCCTGCTCACAGTTAGCACTATACTGGGCTAGGAAATCTTAAACAAAACTATGTAAAAGCACATACACATTAATCTGTCCAGACTACATAATTTATAGTAAGTGCTGTAAGGACAGGGATTCATTTTATTCAGATTGCCTACTGCAGTAGTTCTTAACATCTCTATCACCAATGACCATTACTTGTTAAAATAAGGCTGTGAAAAAAATAACTAAGGAAAACCATCATATTGACAGCTGGCTTAAAACCACCATCATAAAGCAGTCTGTACCTTTGTAAGAAAATTTCAGGAGTCCACTTGTAAAAAATATTGAGGATCTGTTGACTTACTACAATGACATTATTGTTCATAAAATATTAAAAATAGAAAAAGTAACTCAACCTACCTAAAAAGAAAGCTTTTTGCAGATTCTCCCAAGTGTTCTGCTCTCACTTTACACAGACACATTTACCAAAACTTTCAACTAACTGAACCACTGATTTGTCTTACTTTGGATTAGGTATTGTCTATGTAAGGGCTGAACAGAAAGCTGCTACTGCAAGTGAATCTAAGGTCAATTTTGGTCCTTCTACAGAATATAAGACACTGCGGCCAGATACAAAAAAACCCTGTTTCCTTAAGGAGAATTTTGTTCTAAGTAGATAGAGACTAAAATCTGAAGGGACCTCAATTAATGTACAAAAAGGCCTCTGGACCATTTTAATGATCTAACAACTTTCTGGAAGCAATTACATCTCTTGTATGTCTCACATGGTATCTAGTGTGACTAAAAGGGTGGAGACTGCTATCACAACGGGCTCCTGCAGAAGCCAAGTGGAGAACTCCAGTTTCACACATATCCGGGGAAAAAGATAAAGCTGATTTTCATTCATTTTAGAAGAAAGTTTCTGGTTTTATTTCTGTTCTTGTAATCAAGATTACAATCAAACGAAAAGCAAAGAGAAAAATGTCACTGATTGGTAGCTCCCAATTTTCCCACCTTTTTTTCTACTCTGTGACAGATACCAGAGGACCATCAGGCAAAATACTGAGTTTTCCTCTTTCATTTTACATTTAAGCTAACCTGTGGGCAGTTCAAACTCACAACTTTAATGCACAAATCTTGCAAAGCCAAGATTTGCCAACAGAATAGTTAACTTCCGACACCTGTCTACTCAAAGTTAATGGCACTGGGTGTCCTTGCATCCACAACCCACTTCAGTGACACGCTATGAAGTGGAACAAGACCATTCACAGTGGTGAGATGCTGCTGCTCTTTTCAAGTAGGTGATTGTTTAACAGGACATTTAAGAGGCTAAATTTCAGTTAAAGCGACTTCGTATTTTCATCACTCTCTTACCTGTAAAGCCTGCTCACGAGAACTTCACTGGTGAATCCCATTCCTCCCCAAAACTGGAGACAGCTATCAGTCACTTCACGGGTCAGACGACCTGCCTTTAGCTTAGCCATGGAGGCAAATTTTGTCACATCGTTGCCTTCTACATAGAAAGCTAGTAAAAAAAGAAGACATGAAAAGTCATTCACTCTGGAAGTCACCTCCCCATGTTCCTTTAGCCTGACAAGGTTCTTTGCATGAAGAGAAGCACATCTGGGAAGCAGATGTGGGAGCTCACCCACGGCGCGGTACAGCAGCGAGCGCAGGAGCTCCACTTCGGCTGCCAGCTCGGCCAGGCGGAAGTGCACGGTTTGGTTGTGCAGGACAGGCCGGCCAAACACCTTCCGCTGCCGTGTGTAGTCAATAGTTTCTTGTATAACAGTTTCCAGTGGTGTCAGGGCTGGAAGAAACAAAGCACAGAACAAGGCATCATTTTAGCCAGATTTGTTTACCTTCTTGTTGAAAGAGAAGGTTTTTTCACATTGTACAACCAACACATTAGGTTTTTTAAAGGAAATTGTTCTGTACACTCAGTTTGTGGTGAAGCTTTAATTCTGAGAGGAGTCTGGTACTTCCTTGTACCTTGAAGACATCTATCTTACTTGAGCCCTAAACTGCCAAAACCTGGAAGAGAAGGAACAGAAGTGGGTAGGAAAGAGGGAGAGTCATAAAAAGCAGTACCAACATGATGAGGTAAACTTTATGAAGGCAGACAGTGTAGTGTGCTTGGTGAGGAAGACTGTAGAAATGTAAATTGAAGGAAGCCTTCAGGGAAAAGACAGAAACCTATTCTGAGATCAAGGAACACAAATAGACTGCTTAATACATCTGTGTTCTGTGATCCCAGCATAGAGAAAAAAAAATTCATACCCACTTTAAAAAAAACATTAAATAATTCTCCTGATGGAAACAGCATGAAAATAGGGTACTGCTGTAAAACAGGTGAGAGAGGCAGCAGACGATGCTTTAAAGCAGAGCTAGTTTGCTGCTGCTTTTTGAGCAATCTCATTTTAAACAAGAAAAAAAGGGAAAAGTTTCTCTTCCAAGGCAAACCAGCCTTGACGTGAATGACTAAGCTATCAGTCCCTTGCAGTGTAGCTGGGATAACAGCAGATACAGAATGTGTGGAGAATTTTGTTTGGCAAATATGGACTCACTATGACAAGCAGCAGGGCATGATTTCACAAAACTATCTGTATGAGAAGGGTCACATTTTCTCTTTTCAAAATATGCATATCCACATCCATTTGCATCTAAACCACAAAACTCTGAATGTGAAATGCAAAATAAAGCCAAGCCTTGGACTAGTATGAAATCCCTTTTTCTACCTGTGAGTTACTCACATGATCGTCCCTTGCAGGAGCCTGGTGTGGTTCCATATACCTTTTTGCTTTGTTTTCAAGATCTCTGCTGTTTAAATTTCATCTCTGTACTGCTGTCCTGTGCAGACTCTGCATCCCACCAGTTGTCCCTGCCATGATCATTCACCATCACTTCCACAGAGCACCATTTTTCACATCTCCACATTCCATAGGGTGATCAGCTTTTCTCATTACCTAAATATTTTCCCCTCCTTTATCATACAACTAGCTGCAATGCTTATTTTTCAGAAGAGCATATACAGTAATGTCTTCATTTCTTCTGTGTTAATGCACTATGTTGTCACCCAAATGCTGGCCTTCTGGACAGGAAAATAAATTTCTGTTTTCAGGAACATTTCTTGAATAGAAATACTGTCATTCCAAAGGACAATATCACAAAACAGTGTAGCATGTATAACACCAACAGCTTTTTTACTTGTATGTCTATGGTCTCCAGCTTGAGAAATGTAAGGAAAGAGCAAGGAGTATCCAGGCACCTTTCCCTCCGACTGAAATCTGGGAAGAATACAGCGCAGTCTGAGCTGCTGGATGGGAAACTAAACAGTACATGCCAGTGCTAGGAGAGCAGAAAGGAGGTAGAAGAGATAAAGACAAGGCATTCATCTTGTGTTGGTCTGTCAGTGCAAGGTGCTCCAGCACGGCTTGTGTGGTTCCCAGCACCCAGCACCAGGGAAAGAGAGATAGGAAACAGCAAAGAGGAGGCAGGAGCAAGATCAGGTGGGAAGAAACATGACAGAAACTGTTCAGGTCCTGCTTGCTAAAGGTCAAAAGATCATGAAGGCACTTTGTCAAACTCTGCTCAGGTTGTCACCACACATCATGGCTCAGACTGGGGTTCTGGGAAAACCGCTCCTATCGTGTCCACCTCTCCAATTCACTGCCTCCTTCCTGCCCCTGCTGATCCATTCTCCTGTTTCCTTCACTACCATTACTGCCCTTCTTATTTCAGGAACTGTCATTTGCGAAATCTAAGGACTGTCCTGGGCTGCTTCACAAGAGGCCATCAGGTCAAGGGTCGTGATTGTCTCCCTCTACTCTGCTCTCCTGAGACCCCATCTGGAGTACTGGATCCAGCTCTGGAGCCCGTGATACAAAACAGCCATTGATCTGTTGGAGCAGGTCCAGAGAAGGGTCCTGTAAAAGATTAAAAGGCTGGAGCACCTCTCCCATGAGGACAGGCTAAGAGTGTTGGGGTTGTTCAGCATGGAGCAGTGCAGGCTCTGGGGAGACCTTATTGCAGCCTTTTGATATATAAAGAGAGCTTATAAGAAAGATGGGAGCAGAGTTTTTACCAGACCCTGTAGTATCAGGACAATGGGGACTGGTTTTATATTGAAAGAATGTAGATTTAGATTGAACAAAAGAAGAATGTTTTGGAACTGGAACTACATGATCTTTAGGGTCCCTTCCAACCCAAACCATTCTGTCATTTTACGATTCTAAGAAATGTCTTATGAGAGTGGTGAGACCCTGGAACAAGTTGCCCAGAGAAGTTCTGGGTGCCTCAAGACATATCCATTCCCTGGATGTTTTCAAGGCCAGGATGGATGGGCTTTGAGCAACCTGGTTTAGTGAAAGTTCTCTCTGCCCATGGTGGAGGGGTTGGATGTGATGAACTTTAAAGGTCCCTTCCCAAACCATTCTGTGATGCTGACGACAGGAACTCAGAGCTCTGAGCACAGCTCTAACATGGCAAAGCCTGGCTGTGTAGCAAACAGCACCCAAATGCAGCACACCATGAATACCATGACAGCCAACAGCCATGTTCAACACAATAACAGCACATAACACTTTCCCAGTCATACCAATTCAGAGAAATGCCATTCATAATAGGGAACCCCCCTCTTTTTCTGTGTATTTGTTTCCTTTTCTTATACAGTGTTCCCCACATCCTCAGACAAACTTAGCCCTGTGGGTTTCAACTGACAGCACATGCAGGAAATGTCACTAGGGCAGCCTAAGGAATGCGTGGCCTATCCACACAGCTGAGAATTGTGAAAGCACTTGAAGTTGCCAATTCAGAATAATCTTTTCCTCGTATCTCCATCCAACTTATATAATTCCATTTAAAATTTCTGCTCACTGTAAAGACACTTTGTCTTTTGCTGTGTTTCCTCTCAAAAGAAAATGAAATTAATATGTTTTTCCTAGGTTGTTACTGATCATTCTCTAATGAAATGTACAGTGAGCTGTAAGCTGAGCAATCTGATTCTTAAGGATGTGTGTTGCCCATGCAAAAGGATCTGTCATCTTGCTTACTGGCCATGACTCAATGGTGCTCATAAAACTGAAGTTGCAGGAGCAAATAGAATTCATTAGAAAAGTGCCATTCTGCTCTCACATGCATGCTGAACTCCCTCTTTGTCTCTGAGTTAAGCAATTCACAGGACAACTGTTTGCTTTTTTTGCCATAGCAACATTCTTTTCCTGTGATCAGTGCAACAGGCCCTTAAAACGGACAGTGTTTACCAAGTGTCACAACATGGGAGACCCGTGGCACCTTTTTTCTTTCGGTGGAGCAAGAAACACAGTGACTTTGACCAATGCCTGTGAGGATATGTCACTCAGAAGAAGAAACCACACCTGGGATCAAATTTTGCAATTCCAGGAAGCTAGTTTGCCATTTGTATTTTAAACCTGTTTGACTGAAAATAGATTTTAAAAGAAAGAACCAAGTGAAGAAAGACACTGGCCACAAAGAAGATAATTAATAAACAAAAAGAAGTCTAGAGCATGTGATACTTGAAACTAAAAATACATAAACCCCTCACCAAACAAAGAGAAACAGAACAAAGGACCCGAAACACAACAAAATAACACCCAGAAAGGAAAAACAGACAAGTCAGCTGCCTTTTCCAAGTTAAAGGAAGCAGTAACAGTGAGGATCCCAGGACTGGTGCCTAAAGCATTTAAAAGCAGACTGATGATTTTCAATGTCACAGTCATGAACTGGGAAGGAACAGAAATGTCCTACTGAGGGGCAGAAGTGAAGACCAGGATTAAACATGCAGACCTAAGGCATGTTTAGGCATGCTTAAAGGCACTTAAAGGCACTTAAATAGTTTCACACATCTGAGCCTTCACCTGAGCAGTCATGGTTGAACATATGTGAAACTATTTTCAGGATGGGAAGTTAACATCTCTAGATGCTGTGATACGACCAACTGCACCCATTGGGTATTGGGCTCCCTTCTGAACACTGGTTACGCTTTTTCTTGTTTACCACAATTGGTGATCTCTGAAGTTTGCAGCTTGGCCCAAACCATGAGTCTTGTCCCTGCTGCCAATGCTTTTATGTATTTTATATCAGGTAGTTGAAAAAAACAAAACCCAAGGGGTCCAGCAAGGTTTACACAGTAGCCACTGCAGAAAGCAGCTCCCTCTCCTTGGTGAGCTCCCAGACTCTTCCTCCCTGCTGGCCCCTGCCTGGTCATAGCAGGCAAGGAGAGAGGCCCTTCCCAGGCTGCTCATCCAGGGAAAGGGTTCACCTGCTCCTGCTGTGTTGTTTTGGACAAAAAAAGGAATTGAAACCTGGTGTTCCAGTTCCTGGCAGAGCACAGTGACAGCCAGGCAGTTGTGCAAGACTGGACAGTACCAAGCTGCCTGTGGTTTTAGCAGGAGTGATCTAACCTGCCAAGCTTTGTTCATTGATGCTGTCAGTGCACGTCACTTTTGCCTGGGGCATGACTAATGCTGCCAGCTACTCTGGCTACTCTGCTGCCTGGGGAGTCTCACTGCAGCTCAGAGCTTCTCATGGTTTGTTTAATTTAGACTTCGAACTGAGCATAGAAATGCACAATGCATATCCTTGCAGTCTGTATACACCTCAATTAAGGCAGAAGCAGTGGTAGGATCACAACTCCTGCTTGCCTGACTCTGCAGTGACATCCTCGGCAAGTGTAACATCCTGTCCTTTGCTAAAACTACTCTCACATGTACTATTTATCTCAGGCTGAACTAAGAACTATGTCTCAATAAATGAGTTTTTTTAAAGGCATTTGAACTCCAAAATATTTGGTCTGTGATGAACCCAAAATAGTGAGTGCTTTTTTTATTTGTTCACTGAATCAAAACACCATTTCTTAGAATGCTTAATTCCCCAGCCACACACAGACAGTGACAGACAGAGAATGCACAGGAGCATGAATACAGTGACATTATTTAGACAACCCTGGAATCTAAAGAGGACCAATCTTCTCACAGTGAACCACATTCTATTTAACTTGAAGAACCAAGGGGTTCTTCAAGTAAAATAGAAGAGGGGTAGGGAGGGGTAGGGTAAAGTTTGCAGGCTGAAAGTAGACAGTCCAGACTTGGATCTGGTTTCCTGGAATATCCAGAATCCATATAACCCAAATACATAGATTTGAGTACAGCCTGAGTTCTGAGTAACATAAACTCTGTGACAATATAACTTCAGGGAAAGGAATGTAGCACTTATGTCCAAAGCGTACAGAGGTAAAACAGATTTGCAAAACAAAGCTCTGACATCCTGCAAGAGCCACTTAACTTTACACAGCCAGTAAGTTAACTTTCTAAAATCCATGATCAGCATCATAACGCACTGTACTACAGGAAAAGTCACCATCCTTCTATTTCATGCTGATATTTTGATAGCCTTTGCCCTATATTTGTAATAGACATAGCATGATGCCATAATTTCTTTGCAGAGTAGCAACAACAAAAAGAAATAAGGCAAAAAAAAAAGCGTCTGCAATGGCTCACAAAATATATTCTGCTTCAGGTTTTTGTACAGAAAAAGGAATTTTTCTACAGAAAGGGAATGTCGTCTGTATCCAGGCTATGACGGATTTCAAAAACAGATACTAAAAGATCATTGCAACTTACAAGAAAAGAAAAGTGCTGTTAGTCATGCAAAGAGTGACCCCTGTGTCCCTGCAGAAGCACAAATGATGACTTACCACTGGCTACTCCCCACAGCCGCTCTTCTTGGAATTGCAACATCTGGTATGTAAAACCGTTTCCTTCCTCACCAATGAGGTTCTTGCAGGGCACCCTTACATCTTCAAAAAAGATCTGAGCTGTGTCCGATGACCTCATGCCCAGTTTGTCTATCTTTTTAGCAACATGAATGCCTGAAGAGAAAGTGTATGAGAAAGACCACAAAAAATAGAAGCACTATGAACAAATACAATTCTTTTCAGAGAGAAAAGTCTGCAGATGTGAATGTATGTTCCAAGACAACAGTGCAACCTACCCTCAGGAAAAACATAACAGTATTCTGGAGCGAAATGGCCCAGATCCTATTTTAAAAGTTTTTCCACTTTATTAAACCAGGAAATCAGAAATTTTAAATGTAAAAGTCCCACTTTTCATTATATCCCCAAATAATAAATATTTACTAGTCATAATAATCTTACTCCACACAGGTCCTCAAACAATGCAATTTTATTTGTTTATGTTTGATTTTTATCTAGCATTACAATAAAATGCTGAAATTCAATTTGGCAATATTTGCTGAGTACCTGCACTGCTATGAAACAATACACAAATATTCAGTAAGGACAAAAAGAGAGCTACATTTTAAGCTGCAGCTAGGAGTATTTCTCTTCCTGGAAATCCTCTTCCTTCCCTCTCTTCTTCATTTATCCTCCCCTTCCTAGCCTATGCTGATTTTTTCTGGTACAGTGATCACTCTCAGTTTTCATGTGTATATTTTTGTGAGGAGGGTTTGGTTCCCCACAGACCTCTCTACACAGCACTGACTCTGACCCCACATGCATTGGTCTGTTGAAGATGAACCTGGTTTATTCAGGTCTGGCCACATGAGGGTTCAGCTGCCTCCTCACCCTGGACAGGACTCCTTCATGTTGTTTGTTTTTTCATAGCTACAAGTTCTTCCCTGCTGTTGTTCAGATGCAAACATGGCTCACCCCTGTGCCACGAGAGTTTGACAGGCACCCACTGTTTTCCCCTGGCATTTCTCCTGTCTTCAGCTTTTATCTCCCTGTTGATCTGGAGCTAATTCAAATATTCTGGGTGAAAGTCAAGAATGTTTCAAAAGCAAAAGGAGGACAACAACATGGCATAAAGATTTGTGCATAACACGTTAATTACATCTGACAAGTCTGTAGGTGTAGCAAAACAGTCCTCCAACTCAGCATATGTATCTTTGCCAGAAAACCAAAGCTTTTTACTACTCATGTCCATGTTATTCCAAACAGCTTTGTGATGAGAAGGTATTCTGTTGTTATTTTCCTCTTTATTCGTTTTCAATCCTCTACTACTCTGTAGCATGGCTCAGTAGAACCTGGTTGGTCACCACACAGATTGTTCTGGTTCCTCTGTACTTGTTCATATCTTGCTATTCTTCACAGCTTTCAGAAAACATCTCTTTCTGAACTAATACAGACATCTCACCCTTTACTCACAGGAGGCCCTCAGAGATATGAAAATTACTTTGGTTTTGTAGGCAGAAGAAGTTGGCAGTCATTTCCTTCAAATTTACTCTCTCTGGCTGCACTAAATAAGGTTATGGAAATTTTCATTTCTTCACAGAGATGAAATACTGAGATTATTTACAAATGCCAAGACTTCTCTGAGAACAATGTTCACACAGACTTCCACAAATTCCACTCAAGATTTTTTCTCCACCAACCAAGCTGTAAACAGATTATGTATTAGGAAGACTTGCTTTGATATATGATCAATGCAGGAGTAAAATCAGGACAGCTGTATAAAAATTCTTGACTTTTGAACTGAAAATTATCCAGTAATTTGTACTCAGTCAGCCAAAAAATAATTTGTGGTTTGTTTCCATATTAAAAACATAGCTAAATAACCACACACTGAGCAATTTAGAAGCCCAGATGAAATCAGGAACATTGTTTCCCATTGGAATACTGCTATTTGGTTTCTTTGAGAGTTGCAGAGATCATGTATGGTATAAAGCCAACTGGTTTTATGTAATCACTGCTCCTCAGCCATATGAAGATGCACTTACTGCTCTTGTTAGTGGGTGGTTTAAAAGGACTCTCCTCAAGAAAGCAAAACTGCTGCCAGTTCATTATTACATTGCTAAATTAATCCCGTTGTTTACTTCCCAGATCCACATACAGCACATACCACTGAAGAAAGCTCTTACAGGCTTGGTTAGTGAGCTAAATGTGTGATGATTTCTATCTGTAATTTTTCCAGATTGGGTTGTGGTTCAATTTTCCTGGGTCCAGCAGCATCCCCCTTTGTCATGCCCTACCAGTTTCACTTGCTCTTAATTCATGGTTCTCACCCACAAGGAGATCAAGCTGCATCAGTCTCATGAGATGCCCCTTTTGAGGCTATGCTTTACATTGTGGAAGACAATCATACATAATCATCTCTTTGGCCACTATGGGGGAATCAAAATCTCCCTTTATGTAATTATCTTCCTTCTCTTCCTAAGGGGTACTACAAATGAGAAATTACCAGCAGCAGTAGAAATTACTGGCCCAGGTAAGTCCTGGAGTTCATCGTATTAAATAAATTACATGCAATAACTCACAAATCTGAACTTAACAAGGCCAAGCACATGACTTACTAGAATCACCGTAACAGAGCCATTTAAGCTACTTGTACCAGTATCATTGAGATGGATTGCTATTTCTCTGCCTGGGCAGTTCTTCCCAAGAATCTTTGATTTTTTCATTTTCTCCCATTCCTCCAGCCTTCTTACAATCTCTTTTATTTCCTGTATTCTATCTTGAGAAACAGGCAGTTGCTCTCTCCTGACACCATTTAGTGCCATTACAAATGGAAACAGACACATTTTAAATTGCAATCCAAGAAACACACTCTTTCTCTTCTCATGGTTGCTCTTCTCCTTATTAACTCCTCCTTGCGATCTCCCCTAGAGCTATCTGAGGACTCGGAGGACAAACCAGAGGACAAAACAGTTACCATATCAGGGCTGCAAGCCATTTGTCTATATACCTTACACACAGACATTTGGCAACTTGCTAGATTCTCTTTCATTATATGAAAAATTCAGCTGCTTTTTTAAGACATTGCTATTGTATGAAGAGTATTCACCTAATTTGGATATCTGTTGTGGATCCATGGTGCTGTTATCCAAACTTCCTTTATGAGAAATGTATTCAGCAATGTCTGTCAAATCTAGACCATTATTTGCTTCAGCCCACATTAGAAGAAATTTTAGATTAAAATTAGAAGAAGCAAATCCAATTTGTCTAGCCAATAAACTATCAATTGCTGAGGTTAATAATTCAGTTTGAATTTTTTTCTCTCTCTTTTTCTTCCCACCACACTATATAAATACAAAAAACCTTAGATTTTTAGCAAAAATACACTGCAGATCCTTCCTTACCCAGCCATATAGGCTGGTGCCTGCAGAGGTGAGTCAGACATAGTACATTTAGCACATTTGCTCTCCATTGCAGTTGTTTTTGAGCTTTGACACACATACATCCCCAGACGTTTGAGAGTGCATCATTCGGTGATGTCCTCCAGACACTTCCCGTACAGCCTTGGTCTGCTGCCCTCCAGGAGCACAATCTTTAGCAGACAGACATCCTTGGGATGTATCAAACCAGATGGAGTTTCCTGAAAAATCTCACTTCTGATATGACTCACCCGCAGAGCACAATCAACAGCCTTAATACTTCATTTCAAAAGGTCACCAGTTTTGGTACTGTGACCCCTTTGGAGATAAATATGTGTATCATCACAGAAGAATTAGAACACATGCATTTTGAGGAGCACAAATTTTGTTCCTAGGAAGACTTCTACACTTCTGCAGATCAGAATAAGGTGTCTCAGACAATTTTTGTGCTCTAAATCTATTTAATGCAGGTAAAGAAGGTCTGTGTGTAGGCTGTGAGATTTAACATCTCCCCCCTCCTAGAGCTATGACAACTAGTGTCTTTTTGGAATAAGCCAAGTAGCCGAAAACCTCTAAGTCAATTTCTATGTATTTTATCTGCCACCAACTGTGGGTCAGTTGCTTTGTTGTTTTAGGAAGATTGATCTCAGAGAAGAAGTACTGCATTTGCATTCTGACCCGTCCATGAAAAATCTCAAGAAGGACTTCACTCATTTGTCAGCAGATGGCTGAATAGTGAATTTACCTGGAAATTCAGAGCAATTCTGGCTGTAAGTTACATGTTTGCTCATTGCTTCTCAATAATGTTCACAACTAGTGAAGCAGCTCAGGTCTGTCTTCCATGAGCTCCCATTCAAAGCCTGTCTTGCATGAGCAGAGGTAGTAGAAGCTCACAGTTCACTCAGAACCTGCTTGATTCCCAAGGCAACTCACTTGCTTGACTTACTCCATGCTTAAATTCAGTTAAAAGACATTCCCTTAAGAAGCTCTCATCATCCTCTTTTGGAACACTGAAGACCTGGGTTTTGTTCTCAGTCTAATCCATTAAGTGAACATAGATTCATTCCCTTCACTGTTATGGTGTGTTCCTACATGTGAAATGCCAATAATGGCACATACTTTGTGTGTAAAATATTCTGAATTGAATGAACAAAAGAGCCCTGAGTATAAATATCTTATATATAAATATATTAATAGACATTATTCTAGATTTAATAACTATTAAATTGTATTAAACTGTTTTTTGCATCAAATAAATATTAAAAATTAAGTATTAATATACTATATTAATACTTAATATTAATAAGTATATACTTAAGTATATACTATATATTATATAGTGCATAAATTAATATGTTGCATATTTGAAAATATTAAAATGAGTTAAAAGGTTTAAAAACTTCTGAACAGGTGTCAAAACTGCAAAAGATCCCCACCAGCACAATCTTAACTGCATCCTGTCTGGATGATGATCTCTGTGCATATAGCACTCATCCATTCTGTGAGGTCTGCAGATTACTCAGGAACAGACACTATGAGGATGTACCACTGAAACTGGTAGACTTAGCTTGGGAAGTATTTATTCCATGTCTTCAGCTGAATTGCTTGTCTTGTTCAAAACCAAGTCACTACTTCCAGGATATTCGAATCTTTCACTCCAGCCCACATTTAACTCTTAGACTATTTTTTAAATTTAACTGATAATAGTGTCCTGGTGAAGGGATCCCTTTGCACAGCACAGCCATGAAACACCCTGAATATGCCTTCAACTCTCTTCAGCAAGCCCACCAGGCTTGAGAGGTATTTCCCAAGTTTGAAATCTCTAAACTCTTTATCCTTTTATTTTCATACGGATATGAATAATTTCCATGAAAATGTATCTGAACAACTTCTCTAGATGTATTTTTGGTTAAACACCTTTCCTTCTTGTATTAGGCATACAAAGAACACCAATAAAATCAAATGATTTATATTATATTTGATATATATTGAATATATATCAAATTATATATATTCAAATGAGAAGACAGAATTCTGTGTTATTACCAGGTAGATTCATTGGCAGACATATGAGAGATTTATTTTGATGGGGAGGTCCTTCGCTGGTGTTTGCCAGGAGGCACATCCAGTCTGCCTGGCTTCCGGATGTAATCCACATCTTACCACCATTTATGACATATTCATCGCCCTTTCTCACGGCCGTTGTCTTGATATCTATTTCAAAACACAGGAAATGAAGGGTTATTCTTGTGAAGGAGGGGTATACTGGTCCAGATATGACTGGCAGGGTCATTCCCTTGCCCTCAAGACAGAAAACTATTTGGTTCTCCCTCTTACTCCCTTGTCCTATAACTCTTCCAGGCCATAAGGCAAAGCAGTCTAGAAAACTCTTGGAAGGCAAGCCAGGGAAACAGGACTACTTCTCCCACTTTCCTTTAGGTGGAGTCTTCATCCCAGTGGATGAGAGCAGAAAACTTCCTAAGTAAATGTGGTGGTCAAAAACTTGGGGGAGAAGCATTTCACTGTGAGGTGATCTGTTAGAGTTTCTCTTACTGTGTGCCTTAGTCCTGAGGAGGCCATTTATTCCAGAGTCACGACTTAAACAAACACAAACCTCCATATCTGTTAATGCATAAACATAAATCAACATGCATTTCCTGCATGCTCTTGGTCACAGTGCTGCAATACCTTCAAAGCTGGTAAGCTATTGAAGGCCAAGTCTGAATGCAATGAGTGTGTGGACATGAAGGAGTTCTAAACACCTGCTATTTATACACCCTGGCAAAAAACAATCTTATTTTCATCTGCAATGGTTCACATCATGCTGCAAACAGCCCTAGCTGCAACAGCCAGCCAGAGAGAATAATTAGTTATTATTTATCCTCCAGCAGAGTTTCCAAAGGGCTCCCTTCTTTTCTCTGCAATTGAACTTTGACAAGAGCCCCAGTTGATGAAGACTCTCCAATAGATATTCAGCTGTAAGTAGGGGATGGTATAAGAGAACCCAGCCACACTCCTAATAGCACCTGTGAATCTAACAAGACTATGAAATTCATGAGACCATCCACTGAAGGGGGATCATAGACTTGAAGGGTAGGAGTCAAACACCAAGTGGAATGGGCAGGCATGTTTAAGTCATCTGGTCACACTTTCATACACAATCACCTCAGTCTGCACATGCACATTCTTCCCTGGGGATCTAAGCATAAACCAAAAGCAAATCCAAGTATCTGATCTACATTTAGGAGGTAAACTGGGACTGAGGTCAGCATGGCTGAAAATTTGTCTTGTTAAGGAAGGCACTGGAGAAAAATGATGGGAGAAAATCATATAAGGTAGAAAATAAGGAAGTATGGGATTTAGCTATGGCTAAAGGAACCAAAGCGAGGGAAAGAGATGGTAATCATGTGGATAAAACCAGCAGAAACAGAGGAATTTATCCAATAAAAAGACTGTGGCAAATCTATCCAAAGGGCTCAGTATGAAATCTGTATAATAATGAATGCCAAGAAGCTTAAGTAATCTAAAGTACTGGCACTTATAATACACGGACACAGACATTGGACACTCACATACATGGAGACTAAATAATAATGGAAGGACACACAAGAGCTGGAATAAGAAATATGACTGTACTGAAATGGTGTGACAAGGATGGGAGCATACACAGTGATTTACATCACACATCCCTTTGTTGTGGAACAGCTACTGGAGAGATTAGATAGAAGTCCCATAGAAGGCCTGCAAAGGAACAATGAGCACTGTGATGTTACCACAAATGTAAATAGTTCTTTTAGGCATGGCGTCACAGGGGCCTAGCCACCCAAATACAGATTAAAGAACAAGTGCCTTACTAATGAGAATGTTCAAGTACTCCAGATTCAATTGTTCACAGTTTGCTTCAAACACTTGAGAAACAACAATTTCAAATGATCTTGTGAATAATCAATTCTCTTTAACTAGAGATGATTAAGAAAGATGATCAAATCAATACATAAGTTTTATGTTTAAAATATAGCAGGCTTTGAAAACCTACTTAACAATTTACTATGGTCAAGTGGACTCAGGAATATAGCTATGAAGATAATTTGGAATATTTGACTAATTATTTTTCCTGACAGAGCCTATCTCTGGGAAAAGGCTACTTCAGTGGGTGCTCCATAGCTGATTTTTGTAGGCACACACCACTGACTCTCACAACCTCTTACACAGCATTCTCTGAGAAGCCCTTCTAGGAAAGAGCACAAGGCATCACCAGAGGTGAATGACACAGCTGGTGCCATAAAAGCAATGAGGGCTGGTCACATCACTGTTCAAATCACACTTACTCAAGGCTCAATTTTCTTCTCTACTGCACTTGAGTCCAGCCATGCACTTAAATAGATCTGACTAAAGGTAAGGTTGGCTTCAACTTTTAAGGTCAGTATTACAGTCAAAGATAGGCAACACACATCCTTAAAGTAAAATATGAAGAACACATATCTTAAATTTACATCATCAGCACAGGAAAAAAAAACAAGCCAAAACTTTAAAGAAATACCTTCAAGTCTAACTGAATGAATAATCACTTCAAAAACCAGGAAATGAGTAGCAGGAAATGAACAAGGTTAATCAGGAAAGTAAGCTACAATTTGGAGTTTAGAATATAAGTATTGCAACAGGTTGAACTCAGTTAAATCTTGCAGATGAAAACCAGCAAAATCAAAGAAGATTGTGGTGGCAAACAAAACTGTTTCAGTCACAGAAATGAAAAGAGGATGGGAAAAAATGAGGCATATGGAGGATACTTCAAAAAAAAGAAATATTTCACAGGAGATTACAGACAGATTCAAATATGGTTGACAAAGCAAAACACCTACAAGAAAGACTGAAATTAGTGAAAACAGAGGTTGTTGGTTTTGGCAATCTGCACAGCCTCAAAATACATTTGGAAATAAAAAATTCAATTTACTCATGCTACCTTATTTAAACCCAACCTGATTTATTATGAAATAGGATTTTCTAGAGAAAAATCCTATTGGACTCAAGCAAGTGAAATTAACACTACCAGGTAACTATGAGTTAAAATTTAAAAATATAAGAATTAGGACAAAAGTGGAAATGTGCATAAGGAACTTGGCAAAGCAGAAATTGCATCAGGTTACATTAAAAGAAGTTCTGATGTGCAGGGAGAGTACTAGTTAAGCCCCTCCCTGGATATCAGCCTCTGGACAAAACCTACTGAATTAATGATCTTTAAAAGGACAGGAATACCCTACTTAAATTTGTCTGTGACACAAACTTGGGAGACATCACCAACACAACTGAAGTATGGCCCAGCAAGAAAGGAATGATCTTGAGTTTTCAAATTCAACATGGTAAGTACAAGTACTCAGACACGAAGTAGTAAAAGTGATTGCTAAATCCTGAAGTGTTTCAATAGCAAACTGGTAATGAGGATGATCCACAGTTAATCACAGGATTCACAAGTCTGCAAGCTGTTGTGTAACATCATGTATTGGAGAGTAATACTTCTGCCAGGGTTGGAAATGTATTTGTGCCGTTACAGACACCATGCAGAAGTCTGGGGTTTTATGCTCAAAGACAACCTCAATCCAGAAAAGCAGAAAGGCTGGATTCAACTGATGTTGTAATTTAATGTGTTTTTATTTTGCAGGTTATACTTTGATTTGTTGTTTGGTAGTTTTTTGGGCTTTCCCCCCTTGTTTTTGGAGTGACACAGACTTGTTTTTGTTATTCAATTGAGCCAGGTGTCGGTTTATCTCTTTGCTACTTAGCTACTTTTCTGCCAAGTTTCAAACCCTTTCCTCCCACATCCAGTTGTTAACCCCTCCTGTCCGAAGCAGTTTTCCTCCCTTGTATCCCTTGCCCTTGTGTTCCACCCCCGGTTCTCCTGATTAGCTGAACATTGTATCCACACTTGAGACCTGCCCCCACTTTATAAGCTGCTGTTTGCCCCCAGCTCATTGCCTGGGCCCTGAGACTCGGGGAGTGTAACATCAAATAAAGGAACCCAGTGCCACCCCAGGCCCGTGCTGCTGCTGTGGCCTTTTTGTTCCATGTTGTGCCTCCATTGGTAGCTGGGATCCTGCGGAGCCCCGAAAGAGGGGGATTGTCACCCCCCACTGTCACCATCTAGCTGGGACGAGCAACACACTAAGACAAAATGGAGAGGATATTTATGTTGAAGAGGTAGACATGAACAGTGTTGCTAGCTGCAGATACCTGAACATAATCTGAAGATAGAGGATGTGTGTGAGAAAGTTTTTTTCCATTATTTAGTCTTATATATACGCACAGACTACACTCTATAAATTGTGGAATCGGAGTGAGATAGAATGTGACAAAATCATTCAAACTGACACAAACGTTTATGCTTTGTAGTACCAGAATCCTGAAATTAAAGACACTTTTTGTATCATCTGTACTGTTCTGTTTTTCTTCTCAAGCCATCTCTGTGCTAGTTTTGGTGCACATGGGTGACCATGTGACTACTATGGACAACATAAAATAACTACACTTGAAAGCAGACAGGTGTTCCTTCAAATTGACATGAATTTTGTATTAGACTAATATACACGGTCCTTTTCGTTTTGTTGAATTCTGAATAAATTAGTTTGAGGCACATTTCAGTTCTCATGTAAACATTGTTTTTGTTTTCTGTGTTCATATCACCTTCAGTAACTTTGGAACTGCAGGAAAAAATGTGAGAGATACCTTACTCTGTGTCATTCTTCTGCTTAAAATATATTGGCTCACATGGCAGAAGCACATCCCTGACTTTCACATGTGAACAGCTGCCATGTCCCTTCACTTCTCTTAGGGACACAAACATCCCAATAGCATGAGCAACAAAAGGAAGCACCAAGTGTAGTTTCACACACCTCAGTCTGCTTTACAACTGGGTCATCTGGAGATGGTGCAACTCAGAACACAATCTATTGTTGCTCATACCTAAATTGCCCATTTAATTGCCCTTCAGAGGCACTGTAAACTGGATTTGGCATTTATGTCAGGGATCAAATCTTCCAGGACAGAGGAAAAAGTATTTTAATTTCATCCTGCAGTGTGTCTCCAAGCTGCAGCATAGATTCAGTAGATAATCCTTTTTGATTCCAAATTGGTTTTTAACTGCATTCATCTAAGTGTATCATACTACTTTAACTAGATGATAAACAAGATGCTGTTCAAGGAATATTTATGTTACTTATTATCTGGAACACTGCATCAAAAAAATTAAATTCCTATTTAGAATTTTCTGATGATCATCTAATTAAACTAGAGAGGTGTTTATTAAAATAAATGATGTTATATTTCTTATATTAGAAAAATTCAAATTTATAATTACTTTAATATATAAATTATTAAGTGCTATTATAAGATTTATTATTTAAATCCTAATAATATTTAAATTATAATAAGCAATAATGCAGTTTAAATAATATTGAAATTTAACATTTTCAATTTATTATTTATAGTTATTAAGTATTCTTAATAAGTAATATTTAATAAACATGTCTACTAAAGTTATGGAATTCTTCTTATGAATAAATTCAATTAACCCAGAAAGGAAAACAGCAATAAAATATGCAGGAAGATTTAGTGCCATTATTTCATTATCCACATTAACATTCTTTAAATCTACCTGCTGCAACCCTGCTTGAGCACTGGATGTTTACCTATTTGCCTTGAAAAAACAACAGGAGTTTGCTCATGGAGATGGATATAGGATTCCTCGGATAAAAAATGTCTGTCATACATTGGCAAGCTTGTCTGCAGGAAGATGTCTCAGTAATTTGTAAGAACACAATATGGTCAACTTGGCCATGCTCTGTCCAACAACTAAACCTCTAAAAGTGGTCACTTATCATTCCCTTTTCCGTGAAGTCCATGATTCATCATCAGAGGAGATATATTTTCTTTTTCTACTCTATCTGTTTTGATTTCATTTTTCAAATTTTTTACTGCCTCAGGCACTTCAGAATAATAGTTTAATTTGTCCTGGTTTCTAAACATATTCTTGCACTAAACCAAAAAAAAAAAAAAAGTTGCATGTAAAGTAACTAAATCATAAAGATAATAGATTTGACATTGCAAATTCTTCATTAGCTCTAAATAAAGCAATCACCAATTGAGAGATACTTTTGCTTCACAGGAATGACAGAAAAGGGGCTGAGGTGAAGTAAGGATGAACAAGGGGAAATCATCCTGAAAGTGATGCTGTCATTTTCAGATCAGAGAGGCTCTGTAGTTTTCCCCCATTCAGTGGAGAGGTCTTTGTCAAGGCAGCCCCAGTTCTAGTCCAGCTGAACAGGCTCTGTTCCCTGTCAGGACATCTAGAGCTGCATGACTGAGCATGGCTGTGCAGCTGATGAGGTGCTGGAGTGCTCCTGCCAGCTGTGAGCCTGGACAGAGCAGAACACTAGAAGAAAACTAGGGCCAGCATAAAAGCTGCATTAATCTGTTGTGCTCAGCCTATACAGGGTTACTTCACTGATTCACCTGACAAATATGTTAAAATTGATTGCTTTTGGATGCGTGAGAAGGATGTGTTGTATTCCTGGAATGTTACTTTTTGCCCTCACCACACCAGACTTTCCTTCCTTTTGTTTCTTACAAAGGATGGGGACAAAGTGAAGGGTCAGGAAAAACAGATTATTTCCATTAAAACATCAGGCTGTCTAAAACTGACAGTTTGCTAGGTTCACTTACTTGCGACATCTGACCCAGCTCCAGCTTCACTGATTCCCAAGCAAGCCACAAAATCACCAGCTATAGTTGGTACGAGGAACTGTTTTTTCAACTCCTCAGAACCAAACCTGCAACAATATAACAAAAACATACGATATTAATACCCTATGAAGGTAAATTTTATTCAGAAGTTAGTTACAAATTTTTTTCTACCCACACATTGATCAATAAATACCCTCCAAAGCTGTGATTCAGAGTCTTCACCAGAAGTGCAGTCATAATCATTTCAAAGAAGTTTTAAAAAGTATTCAGGCATCTTACTCCCACAGAAACATGTGGTCTAGATGGCCAAAATTCATCTTCATGACTGTTGCTTTAAAAGTTCCAGATCTAAATAAACATAACCCCTGAGGATTCCTCTCAATGCTCCTGCACTACTCTGCAACCACCAGGATGGAGGACCTGGTCTGTTTTCTTGAACCATCTCTTTGCCAGGTTTTAGTAGTGACTGAAAACTTTTGACATCTGCAAAGACGTGTATTTCAATTATTTATATTTCACATCTACATTTAAATCACTCAGTAAAATCCATTAATGCTTCTTCCAGCTGTTCTTTTATCTCCACATAAATAAAAAGGGAAACAGCAAACTCTGGATGGTATTTTAACACAAAAATTTCACTTGGCTGTATTTAAATTCAGTTAAGAGGCACACACTGTTTTTCTGCTGTTTAGAAGACTCTATCCATTCAAGATATGCTACATCTCATTTCATGCTTGATTTTGTCCTAATTAAGATTCACTGATTTCTTCTTGCAGTGTGACTGGTGAGTTCATGGTCCACTTCTCAGACCTTTCTTGTGTGACTGAAAAATTCCTTGGGTCATGAAATGTCCTATGTGTCCAGGAATCCATAAATCCAAGTTCCTCCTCAGCCTCCTCTTTGTTGTGAGGCTTCTCAGCTCATCATTGCCACTCGCCTCCTTAAGCTCACTGGGGCCTCCTTCCAAAACATTGTCCCAGTTTTTCCAAAGGAATGGTGCCATTCATTCAAGCTAAGACTGTCACCCCCTCCAACCAACCCTGGCACAAAGGACATGGGACAGCCAGACAACAGACTGGGATCTGGCAGACACTTCCATTTGGGGCACACAAGGAGCTTAATTCCTAGTCCTGTCCCTGCTAAAAATCATAGCAGCAATCCCAAATAAATACAAGAAGCAAGTTTGGAGTTCCTTCCTCTATCATACTGGAACTAAGTGCCCATGTCTGTTAGGCAGCAAATTTTGTTTTTTAATTTTCCATGGGGCCTGATCAAGTATGATTTAGATTTAGACTTACCCATAGCTTCATATTCATCAGTCAAAAAAACCTCCAAACAGCCCAACCATCAACATGGAAAATCAGATTATGAGAGCAGATTGTGGTGATTTTTGGCAATGCTTTCTAATGCTTGAAACTTTGCTAACCTTTAGCATTTCAACAGAGGATTTTCACAGCAAGACTTTGCTTAGAATAATATTTTTGGTTTGATGTCTTTCTTTGTTTTGAGTTCCAAAAAACAGCTGAATTCTTTCCAAATGTGTGGTTATAGAAGATGTTATTTTGTAATCAAAAAAAAAATAGTTGGGCAACACTATATTCAGAAGATGGTGGGTCTCTATGCCTTGCAGGAGACAGCTAGCTTCTTGCTCAGCTGCTAGCTTTTGTGTTAAAAAATATGCCGCTTTTGTAAAATTCTACCCATCTTAAATTTGCTTACTATTTGCCTATGAACAACAGTGAAAAAAAAAAGTAAAGTTCATTCCTACTGCTGAGATAAGCAGCTCTACACTGATTTGATATGACTACAGATGTGACACCCTACAGGCATGTCTACAAGCTCAGGGAATGCCTATCATTCACTGCCTCAGCTAGGAGCTGCTTTCTCCACTCTATTTGTGGGCAAGAAGGGCAGTATTATATCTGAATGCATTTGAAAGACCTGGCAGAAAGTTATGTTCCAAACCATCAAAGGTCAGATCACTGCAGCATTTTCTATTTAGTTCTTAAATTTAGAAAGATTCCTGTATTATATATTATATATCTATATCCTGTAGAAAGATTTAGAAATTCCTGTAATTCCCAGAATCCCCTGCTTCACTTAGGGGATTCTGGGAATTACAGGAATCACATTCATGGAGTTAGTTTGTAGGTACACTCCATATGTGCTGGATGAATGCTGAACAAAGTCCAAGGTTATGAAAGCCAAGAAAGAGCTACAGAGGCTTTTTTAGGGGTTGATGGTTGATTCCCACATCATTGTTTGATTTGTGCAACAACGCACAGCCAAGATGCAAAATCTGACTTATCTCTACAAACGTGTTTAGGATCCCCACAGTATACAGATACTAATTAAGAAACCATCCAGGGCATTGGTGCCATTTGAATCCATGACCCAGGACAAGCAGTTGGTCTTCCCACTACACAGCATGAGGTAAAGAGGCACACAGGCAAAATTTCCTGTAGCAACCAGCTTTCTCTTTTCATTACCAAGTTTCACTTTTACATGTGTGTGGGGGACATTGTACTGTATAAATAGCCAGTGCAATTGGCTCAGCAGTGGGGGAAAAATTCAATAATGCAGATACAAACTCAATTAAAAATTTCATCAAGTTAACAACAATTTCACTGTTATTTTCCAAGAACTTCCACTTTAGGATTTCACTAGCCCAAATATGCATAATTTCACTGTTTTACTACAGCAGAACAGAGTAAAAGAAGGCCAAAAAGCTGCAATGGAACAAAATCCCATTTTCTTTTACCCATAGATTTTCTTTAAACCCTTGAATAAAAGGCTGTCATGGGGTCAAGGTAGTACTGTCTGAAGTCTTTTAAAATACTATTCTTATACTCAGTTGGACTATAGCTAAGCCACTGTTGCAAGAGATGTACTGAACTCCATGCATTTAGCAAGCTTTTGTTGCATTACACAAAGGAGAAGAAAACTTTAAGAAAAATCTGTTGTAGATGAGACCTTCAAAGTCACACATACAGCAGGATAAGCACATGTCAAGGGAATAGAGCTTATATTTCAGACTCTTCAGTAGATTTACAGGCATTTCCATTCAGAATGGGGAAAAAAAGTCAACAACCTCCTAAAAATTACCAAAAAAATCCCTAAAATATTCTTCTGAATAAAACATCCCTTCTTTTACATCTGTTTAGAGCAGAGAAATTTCTGATTTCAACATAATTATTAGAATTTAATTCCCACCCTCATCTTCCAGAATATTAGGTGTATCCATATTCCAGGGACAAAATGCTAGATCAGCCAGTTGCCCCACTCTAGTTTTAAGAACTGCTGTTCTGACACAAAATATCTGCAAAACTCCTACATGAAGAAGTTGATAACTTTTATTGAGGGAGGAAAAACGCTACAAATCAGATTAAGAAAATGCAGGAGCCTAAATGATAGTAAGTGAATAAAATGGGAACACGGACGTAGTTGATGAGAAAAAGAAAAGTTATTAATTGTCTAGAATGGGCATATTTAGGGACCATGATATATGTGCTACAACTTCAGGACTGACACCTTGCAAAGCTGCAAAAAGAACAAGTGAATATATATATTATAAAGCAGAATTAGACTGATCCTAATAATTACAACTAAATGCATTCTTAGTATGACTGCACTGGGATATAAGAAAAAAGACAAACATGAACAAATTGGATGCTGGAATTAATTTTTTTTAATTGGTTGTGGTACCAATATTTCATGTTTGTAAACATATCATCTACTACTCAACAAGGTTTATGTTTTAACATATAATCAATATAACTCTAGCATTAAAAAAAAAAGAGAAAGTATTTTCTCCCCTAAAGCAAACTGAGAGAAGTAGAGAGTAGCTTCTTTCCTCAGGCATTACTGACTAGCAACTAGGCAGTAAATCTACACAGTATTGTTTTTTTTTTTCTACTCATGACAATTGGGTTTTAGGCTAAACCAAACTTTCTGAAAATTACCTTGTAAGGGCAGGGGTAGCCATACCAGTTTGCACTCCAATGGCCATGGGAATACCTCCACAACGGATATTTCCCAGCTCTTCTGCCACTGCAATGTTATAGGAGAAGTCCAAACCCATGCCGCCATATTCTGAGGAAAAAACAAATCTGTGATTCTTATATTCTAGACTGGCATAAGCAACAAGAAAAACAGTAAAAAAAGATGTTGTTACTGCAAGGATTTGCCAACTGCCATTTAATTGCTAATTTTTAAGTATTTCGTAATTACCAGCTTCCCTTTCACAAAAGCAATACCACATTATTCTGTACAATATTGAGAATTGAATTGAGAATGACACTTGCTCTAATTATCTATGTGCACATCAAGTCACCTCAGTATCCTAAGTAGCCTCATTACTTTTACTGGAAACAGCAGGAAGAAGTGACATGCTGTTGTAAATGATACCAGAAAGCAAAATTATTCTTCCCAACAGCAAGGTCATATGAACAAATCACACCACAAGGTAATAAGTGCTTCTATTTCCCCATGATAACACCTGACACCCGCTCTCATCACACAGTGCAATCCTCTTTCTCAGACACAGCAGCCAAGTCAGCACGGAGCGCGACCACACACAGGTCGTGTTTCTATTCTAAATTACTGCTGTAGCTCAAAATTCATGTTAGACACAACTGCAGCACTGAATGCATTTATTCCACACCCTGCAGCCGGTCTGTGCAGTGATTAAAGCACTCTTGCTCACAGGGAGCTGACAAGCTGGGGTGCTGGCCTGGTGCCAGCACAGCCCATTGCTGCCCTTCTCCCCCCAGCATTCCAACCTGCAAATTCAATTAAAGAAGAAATTATTCTTCACCTCATTCCCATGCCCAGTGCTGATAAACCCACTACATAGTGAAGCACAGAAAAAGGCTACATTGCTATGATGGATGAGGTAATTTTTAGCTGTGTTAAATAGCTTAGAGTCCAAAGGAAACACGGTGAGAAAGTGAAGGTTAAGGTTACTACTTGACGTCATTAGTTGACTGAGCAGCTTTGATTAGATAATGCTGCCTCTTTTTCTTTTTTTCTTTTAGCTCCTTTGAAGACCGGCTAAGAAAATTTCAAATAAATAGATACAAACCCTCACCCCTCACACACACAATAAGGGGCAGATGACCCTCACCTGTTTTCACTTGCTGACCTCAAACACTGAGCACACCCTTCACTGACCTGCTCTGAAGTTTACAAAAAACACCATTAAATAAAGGTCAAAACACCACAGTGCATATAAACATGGGACTTTGCATGCTATCATCTGTTTCCTAAACCCACAAAATCTATCTGTGTGCATCCTTTCTTTGCTGAAAGGAAAAACACAAGAGGAAAGGCTAAGCATAAAAAACCCCATTTCTCCTTAGGTCATACTGAATAGTTTAGACTGTCAGAATTTAAAAAAACACTACTTCTTCAAACTTTTGCTTGAAAACAATATTTCTTAAAAATACAAAATAAAGTTCCTACTGGGAGCTTAAGCAGTACAATGAAACATCAGCAATATGTAAATGAGTTTAACATAACAGATAATCTAATTTTCTTGCCTTTACACAGCCCCCAGCAATAAATAAATGCTCTGAGGAGCAGTAATGTATGTGCCTGTAAAGGCAAGACTATTTAAAGATATCTGGCATGAGAGAGATTTTGCTAATCTGAAATGGATCTATAGCAGAATTATAATAGATAACTTCAGTTCTAGCACCTCACAAATTCTTTTCATTAGGTTTTTAAAATTTTATTTTAAATCAGTCAATGCTTTTATTGTCAGACTACTGTTATTACTGATTTTATCTTTAATTTTATCTAACAGGCAGTTATATTCCCATCTTTCACTTAAATTTCACAGATCAAAACCTTAGTTTATTTTGATTTATCCAAAGTAACTTCCCAGAAGGAATGCTATGCACAAAACTGACCCAACTTCGGCTACTTTATCCTAGTATCCAGCTTAGAGACATTCTTTGTCCATACCACAATCCATTCTATATTACCACATAACAGACTCTTCTTGCTCTCATTTGAGATAAATTACTAAGCAGTACACTTTAAAACCAAAATACTGCCAAGGCCAACTTTTAAAAGGATAAGAATGAAAGAATTTCTGACCAAAGGGAGTAAAGGAGCAGAAGGAAGCTTTGGGAGCTGAAGGTGGAGAGGGAAGTCCTGCTGGGTAAAGAGATTATAAAATCCCAAAATTTTGTAATCTGGGGATAGATAACACAAGAGACAACCACAGATGCAGGTAGGAAGGGCAGAAGCAAATGGTAAAACCATTAATCAGACCACAGCTAAGCTTTCATCACTTCTGCTCCAGGAGCCAAGAAGTTAAAGTTTCATGGAGAAATGTGAGTGATTTGATAAACAATGATAGGGAATGTCTTTTTGAGCCCCCCTTGATCAAGGTGGAGACTGATTTGTCAGTGCAGTCTGTGCCATTATTACCCCGGTAATCCAGGTAATTTAGGCCGTGGCTAACCACAGTTGTGTCCCATCTCTTTGGAGAACTGGCCCTCCACACTGAGCAAGGCTGCCAGTGGTGTCACACACAGCATTAGCTGGCAGGGCTGGCCACAAGCACCAAAGAAATTTCCTTTTTTCCTCAGTTCCTAGTGGCAGCCTGGTGCTCGCAGACCCATTGCCAGTGCTCCAGACAGAGATTTTGGGACTGGTCTGAGCACATTTCCCTCCATGTCATGGGACTCAGCTCTCAGTCTGAGACAAAACCTCCAAGCCATTCTTATTTCCATCTCCTTCAGTGATGATGGTAAATTTGTATGAAATTAATTTTCAATTTTTATTTGGAACAGAACTTACTCTTTTTTGGAATAACGCTTATTTGCAAAAAAAGGCAATATGCTGGTGGTGGTAGGTTTGTATTCGCCAGTCTCATCAACAAACACCACTTCCTGGAAGTATCTGTACTATGATGTAATGCTAATAGGTCAATTAAATTTTAATTCAGAAGAGCAAACACCATGCCTAACATAGGAGTGAAAAATTTTGGTGACATTTTTGGTGAAAATCCATAGTGAAAGAAACCAAATCAATTCCAGATTTGATCACTTTACAAACATACAAACAAACACACACACACAATTTCAAAAAATAAACAGCAAAAACCCCACACCAAAAAAAACTCCACATCAAGAATAACAAACTATATTTAAATATTCACATGTAAAATATTTCTGGGGTAAATATTTTATTTTACTTTAAAATGAGATGAGGGACCTTTAGAGAATTGTTTGGCTACACTACCAATTTTAATTTGCAAGAAAATTAAAGTAACAAAGCACAAAGTAGATTAAACTAGGCAGAAAGTCTAATGCACTATTGCTTTTATAGCTGAAAACGGGTAGAAAGAGGCAACTCAGATATGTTCAAATTGTTACAGTTTTGATGATAATAGCACAACTTCCAGCTGTTAAATGGCCTAATAGAATATCTCATCCATTGTTGGATTTCAGCTTCTTTTACAAAGAAATTAAAATATAAGGCCCAAAGCAGAGAGCACAGAAACATACAAATAAATAAAGATCCTGCACTGCAGCCCATGGGCAGGACCCAAGCTGCAGGAAGGAAAAAGTGTGAGGAGGAAGGAAGATCAGAGAGGATGTGCTGTGGACTGACTACAACCTCCCATCCCCATCCTGCTGTGCTGCTTAGGGTGGGGAGTGAGGTAGATGAGTCAGGAAGGAAGAATGGAAGATGAACCTGGGAAGGGGGGATGGTGGAACATCTTGTTTTAATTTGCTGTTGCTTCTCACCACACACATCTACTTTAACTGGGAGGAAATAAAAATAATTTTCCCCCTGCCAAGTCTGCTTTTCACTGTTATGGTAACTGGTGGCCAGTCTCCCTGACTTTCCTCGACAGCCAGGCCTTGGTATTGTATTTTCTGCCCTGTCCTGTTGAAGAGGGGGAGTGAGTTAGTGGTTGGCCAAGATGAACCCACCACACCATGGTCTGTATATTAACCTATTCCTTTTAATTGGATCTCTGCTTTTCTACTAACCACCACCATCACATTATTTTACCATTCCCCAACCCACAAAAGCTCCTTATTTTATACAGACCAGCAAATTTTCACATGTCGTGTTTGTAGATCCTGGCAGTGGAATAGGTGCCAAAAGAACACAGTGAATCTTAAAAAACATTGCTTTTAAAAGACACAAGTGTACATTCTACTAAATCTGACAATTTGGGGTATCAGGAGTTTTACATATGAATTTAGGGTAGACGGCACAAATGATGCCCAAAACGACAAATAAAAGAGCAAGACATGATCTCTAGTTGCAACAGGTCAAAATGGAAGCACTGGTGACAAGACCAGTTGGAAAAACAAAGGCACAGAAAGTCTATGAAAAAGAAGTCATAATGGCAAATGAGAAGCTTAAGTCTTTCATATTTTGTGAAGACCAGAGCATTTCTTTCCACTTGTTAAAGGTCCCTGTTCAAATATGACTGTTCCATGATGAGACAGGCTTGAAGTCTCTAGTCAAAAATTTGCAAGAGTTTTCAAGTGTCTCTATTTGGAATTTGCTTCTGAACCCCGTCTAGTAGCTGTTAATGGGAATGACAATATCTGTGGTGAAAACAGCCTGTAAGTGAATTGAAGCAAGGTGAAACAGGTGGTCCTCACAGCATTTTAAGAATTTAAGTGAGCCTGGATAAAGGGATGGTGATAACACAATGCAGCTGTATTCAGAACTCCATGTTAAATGCTTAAACCTATACAATTGGTCTTATTTGTTTACATACTTTCCAAAGTTTCAATGATGTGTACCTACACCAAAGAAAATCACTCAGTATTACTTCTACTCTGGGCATCTACCTCAGTGCAAAAAAACCCAAATATTTGCTCTAAAATTTGTCAAAGAAAAAGCATGAATCGAATCCCAGTTTGCAGATAGGTCTGAGAGACTTCTATATTTGATATTAGGATGACAAAGCTAATTGCTAGTTTTCATCACAGCTTACAATTTTAAATCAACAGAAGCAAAATGTAAGTGCTCAAACCTTGTTCACCTGTCATAAATATGGTTCAAGAATTTAAACTCCAGAGAAGTGCAAAGTGCCTTGAATCTACATAACT